GCTTAAAATTTCCTACAGCCACATTAAAAAAGAAAAAGGAATAGGGAAAATTAATTTTATTAATGTATTTTATTTAACCCAGTGTATTCTTTTTTTTAAAAAAATATATCTTTATTGATTTCAGAGAAAGGAAAGGAGAGGGAGAGAGAGAGAGAGAGATAGAAACATCAGTGATGAGAGAGTCATTGATCGGCTGCACCCCGAAACCCGGGCATGTGCCCTGACCGGGAATCAAACCCCGATTGCCTGGATCCTTGGTCGACGCTCAACCGCTGAGCCACACCTGGCCGGGCTAACCCAGTATATTCTAAGCATTTCAATATGTTAACATGATTGAGATATTTTACACTCTTTTTTATTTTTCACACCGTCTTCAGAATCCAGTGTGTTTTTTCCTTCCTTTTTTTATTTTTTTAATAAATGCTTAATGCGTAAGGAATTTTACTTAAAAATTTTTTTAAAAAAATATGCTTTTATTGATTTTTAGAGAGAGAAAGGGAGAGGGATAGAAAGGGAGAAACATTGATGAGAGAGAAACATTGATCAGCTACTTCCTTCATGCCCCCTACTGGGGATTGAGCCCAAAACCCAGGCATGTGCCCTGACTGGGAATTGAACCCTGTGACCTGTTGGTTCATGGGACAACACTCAACCATTGAGCCACACCAGCCGGGCCAGTGTGTGTTTCTTAAGGCACATCTCAATTTGGACTAGCTAAATTTCAAGTGCTCAGTAGTCACATACTGTTTTGAACAGTGCAGATATAGAAAGTTCTGTACAAGTATGGAGAAGGGATAAAGAAAATTGGTAAAGGATGGTTGAGAAAAGAATATGCTGGAGAGGAAAACATTCTGTAAAGTGATGGGAATTTAAGTGGGAGATATAATTTGAAACCAGGTAATAGAGTGGCTTGAATGCAGTTTAGGGAATTTGGTTTGTATGGGGTGTGTATATGAGAGAGAGAGAGATGTTGGAGGGTGCATAATCCATGTCTTGGTCATGAACACTTGAATGAATGTTGAATTAATATTTGTGAATTAATATGAAGCAAAATAAAAATCCTGGAAGAATACTAAAAATGCCTTGTGGATCTTCTAAAAAGAGAGCTGTGTTTAGGGAATATTCGTGTTCTGTGATTAACCATGTGGTGGAGATGATCAAAAAGGATGAGAATTGAGATAATGGTTTTTAGATTTGACCATTATTGGTGCCTTGTTCCTTAATGTTCTATTTAGATATACCTTACATACAGAGAAATCCACAAATCTTCTGAGTACAACTCAGTGAAATTTTTACATGTAAATGTACCCAAGTAACTTCTATTCCCATCAAGATATGTAACATTTTCTGTACAGAAAAAGATACCTTGTGCCCCCTCCTATTAATTTCCCCCTTACAGAAGAACCACTATTCTGATCTCTATTACCATAAAAACGTTTGGTTTATTTTTGAACTTGCTTATGGCATATTTTATCCTTTCCAAAGGTAGTGAGAGTTAATTCTAAGCTGTCTGTTGTTTGACGTTGTGTGAATTTGGATGTAAGTCAGATGGTAGGTAGTTGGTACTGTGGCCCTTCTGTTTTTTTCCAGTGTGGTTTATGTCAAGATCAGAGAGATGTTTCTTAGTTTTCATGAATAGTAATCCTTTAGAGGTTAGCATTATGACTAGAAAGTTTGTTTAGAATATAGAGATTAAAATTGCTTACACAGATAACATAGCTATTTGGCTTGCTTTTATTACAGTATTCTCTAGGCATGTAGCCAAGAAGTAGGTAGAGGAGGTCTTGGATTGCCTCCTTATATAGATGCCTTTTGGAACCTTCTTAAACTAGCTTCTAGGCATTATGTAAGTTAGCTTTCAGGAATTTCAGGATGCTAGGGTATTTGAGTATTTCTGATTGTGATTGTAGGGATAGGAATAAATTGGTGTACTTATGTTTACAGGTAAGTTTCTACTTTCAACCGGAAAGATTTTGACATTTTTTATGAGTAAACAACTAGAATATTACCTTAAGGACAGTTGCACAAAAAGCTAAAATCCATGAAGGACACTTTTATAAAATGCAAACTGAAATGGAATTATTGATCATGATTTTTACTTCTAGTGCTTAAATCAGTTTTATTTTTCAAATGGAAGTAATGGTTACAGCATTGTTTTTCATAAATATTGAGCAGCGGAAGTCTTACTGTATATAGTGTAACAATTGATACTTTTGGGAGAAGGATTTTTTTCCTGCAATATGTATTATAAAAAAAATTGTGCTCTAGCTAGTTTGACTCAGTGGTTAGAGTGTCGGCCTTCAGACTGAAGGGTCCCAGGTTCGATTTTGGTCAAGGACACATAACCTCGGTTGCAGGCTCAATCCCCAGCTCTGGTCGGGGGCTTGTGGGAGGCAACCAATCCAGGTGTCTCTCTCACATCGATGTTTCTCTCTCTCTCCCCCTTCCACTCTCCCTGAAAAACAATGGGAAATATCCTTGGATGATAAATAAATAAATAAAATAAATAAATAATATAAAAGTTGTAAAAAGCACATAACAATGAAAATTCAAATCTTCATTCTAGTATGCTTAGTTTTGAGGAATAGATATTTTGTAAATTGTGTAGAAATGAACATGAAAATACTTTCTCATTAACCCTTGGATTATGAATACTTTTGAGCTTATGAATGAAAATGTATAAAGAAGTTTGTTTTTTTTTTAATTTGTAATACGTTTGCTTAATATACTCTTGCTCCAAGAATTTTAAGTTGTCTTGAAGAGCCGTGGCTGGTGTGGCTCATTTGGTTGAACATCGTGTTGTGCACTGAATGTCGCCAGTTCGATTCCTGGTCAGGGCACAAGCCCAGGTTTCCAGCTTGATCCAAGTTAGGGTGCTTGCAGGGCAGCTGACAGATGTTTCTCTCTTCCCTCCCTCCCTTCCTCTCTGTCTAAAATAAATTTTAAAAAACTCTTGAAGAATAAAACCTGATCTATCAGCTTTTCTTACATAGGTTTTGTATTTGACAAGTGTAGAGGCTAAAGCAAAATTGGTTAGATTAGACATTGAAAAAGTATGTTTATTATCTACAAAATATTAAGATTTTATATAATGCCTTTTTTGGCATAGATTTAAAAAATTAAAAAAACAATTAGACTTATTAACAGCTTTAAGAGCTGACTTCTCTGTATAGAAAAAATAGACTTAAAGGTACATTCTTTGTTTTTGTGTTTTGATAAAAATGAATGTTATATATGAATTTAGTCTTGGGAGACTTGATTATTTTATATTCAAAAAAACATTGTTTATCTAGTTATATTTTCTCTAACATTCTCTTGCTTTAATTGAGTTAGGTATTACACAAAATTCATATATTAGGGGTAAGAATGCAGATACTATACACAGCAAATGATACGGTTCCTGCTCTCCAAGATCTCATGCTCTAAGATAACTTGAAGAGCAGTTAAAAGTGAAACATTTGAATTACTGGGCTGACATGAAATATATGAATAGTATATAGTAAGACTGAATTAATAAAGCTTCTTGGCAAAAATAATTTTTTAATCTATATTTTGAGACAGTGGTCTGTGTAGATTGGTGGAGAGGGAAGGGAAGATCAGCAAAGAGGAAAGGCATGTTGGGAATTGTGGATGTAAGCATTTTCCTTGCTCAAAGTAGAGTGTTTTAAATGAACTTAATGAAAAATAAAGATAAGACTGTGGCCTGAGCTGAAGGAATCTAGAGTAGTTTGTATTAGAAATTAGAAATCACGAGTTCTACTGAAGGTTATTGAACAGAAATACAGGGAGAAAATTAGTGGCCAGATATAACATGATTGGAGAAAAGACTGAAGTGAGAAAGGACAGTTAGAGGAGGTTATTTTGAGGTGTATATTAAGAGTAAGGAATGGGTAGTTTTAAAATAAAGAAGGTGAAATGCATGCTTCCTAAGTTTGTAGTGCAAAGTTAAAATAACAATGGAACCATTTTATTATCGTCTAGTATTGAAAATAAATTTACTTGGTCACACAGTTTGCAAGTAAGTTATTAACACGAATTGAGGTATATCTGCTTTGTTCTATAAAAGAGTGATGATTTTTTTTTTAAGTTTGATTTGGAAACTAAGTAAAACCCAAGTTAAGCCATAGTGGTATTTTCTGAATTGCTAGTACTTTGAACTTAAAAAAATATATTTGAGATGAATACTGAAAAGATCTTGTATTGTAATGCTGTATTTTGAGTTATAATGGTGCATTTTAGCCATGTTTTAAGACAATTCTAATTGATATAAGAGTTGGCCGGAAAACAGGAGATAATAAAAATTAGTAATCTGGGCTACCAGTATTTAAATTTTTAAAAAATAGATACTTGTTTTAACATTTAGGAATAGTTAAAAACACACAGTTTATATATAAGGGGAAAAATCTTTAATATATAGTTCCTTTGGGCAGTAGTATTCTTTTAATATTTGTTATATAAGATACTTATTTTTAACTGGAGTTTTCAAAAGTTCTTAAACTGAATGTATACTATTCCTTATAACGAGTAAGATTATTAAAATAGAAAAGTAGAACAACATGAAAAAGTTACAAAAATAATATAAAGAATCTTTTTCTGCCCTTTTTAGAGTTAGTACATACAACAATGTTTGGGAGTTAATAGATTCTTAGAGTTCTAAGATAGTATGTTAGCCTTTTTTTTTAATCCTCACTTGAGGATATGTTTTTATTGATTTTACAGAGAGAGAGAAACATCCATGTGAGAGAGAAGCGTCAATTGGTTGCTTCCTGTACATACCCCAACCTGAGATTGAACCTGCAACCTAGGTATGTGCCCTAACTGGGAATCCAACCCCTTGGTGTATGGGAAGGATGCTCCATCTGAGCCATCCGGCCTGGGGAATAATATGTTAGTCTTATTATGACAAATTTACATTTGAAATTATTTATTTATTTATTATTTATTTATTTCATAGCTTTTAGAGAGAGATCGATTTGTTGTTTCACTTACTTATGCATTAATTGGTTTATTCTTGTATGTGCTCTGACTGGGGATCTAACCCACAACCTTGGTGTATGAGGACAACACTCTAACCGACTGAACTGCTCGGTGACCCGGGCTCATGACAGGTTTACATTTTAACCATTCTCACAGTTATCAGGGTTCATTCAGTTAATAAAGAAGTTAGTGAAGTTTCTGGCAGCATGGTACAGTAGGTACATTTGACTCAGATGCATCTAAGTTACCTGTTGAAGCATGTCAGCTAAAGCAAAAGAGAATAGGTTTCCCATACTATTATCACTGGGAAAATAGATTTCATCTCTGAAACTTGGGGTTTCTTTATAGACAGTACGGTGAGAAAGGATGACAGCAGAACTCCCTACTGTTCCCTGATTATCCTGATGAACTGGGGGTATTGTAATGAGGCTTACCTGAAGGCCCGGCCCTGAACCTTTCTGAAGTAGTTTCCTGTTATACCTATTTGTGCTGCAGATTTCTTGGAAATAGATGGATCCCCACCTGTGTGAGCCTCTGCACGCTGACAGGCAGTGAAAAATCACTGCCGCGTGAGGAGGGGGAGCAGTTTGAAAGGGACGAGGACTAGGACCCAAACTGACCTCCATGCACGCTGGTCCTGCTGAGCAGCTCACACTGGAACTAGGTGGAGAAGATAGAACTGGCAGTGGCTGAGGTGTGACCCGTACTCTTGTGCTATGTGAGTGAATGTCTTCTGGTGGCAGTGTCATTAACAGTAACACAAATGGTATTCTAAGTAGATCTCCTTGAGTGTGGTATTGCTTGCCTAACCTACTCTTGGTACATCTTATTTTCCAACCCTATTCACCAACTTTGCTGTCAAATTTGGCTACCCTGTAGTTTTCCAATAGGTTTTTCTTAATTAAACTGGAATTGATTTCCTCCCTCCCCTTTTCAAACTGGATTAAAAATTCTTACTGTGTGGTTTCATGAGTTTTATCTATGTCAAAATAACACAACATTGAAAATAAGGGAATGGCAAAAATAATACTAAAACTTGCAAGTTTCATCGACATCAAGCAAAGGATAAAACCTATCTAGAACAAAACTTTTGAGTGGAAATTTTTTTTAAATAAAATATTAGGACTAGTAACCAGTATCAGGCTTAAATTTTTGTGTAATAAACTCAAACAAATAGCATTAAAACAATATGAAGTATAGTTTCTTTAGAGAAATAGGTAAAACCAATTTTTTTTAAGGAAACTTGATAATTCACCTCTCAGAATTTAATAAAGTAAACAAAATTCAGGCTATAAAGATCTGAATAGCTATACGCTTTATTTAGTAGATGTATGTCAAACTTTGTTTCCAATAGAGACTATACATTCTTTTCAAATTCTTGTGAATTCTTTTGAAACTGTGTCTTGGGCTTCAATGAGAATTTGAAATTTTAAATAAGAGAAATTGTACAGGCCAATATTTTCCTGACTATGGTTTAGTAAAACTAGATGTTAAAGCCAAAATGAGTCTGTCTACTTGGTTGGGGTACGTGTGGGAGGCAACCAATCATCTTTATTTCTCACATCAATGCTTTTCTCTGTCTCTCTCCACCCCCTTCCCCTTCCTCCCTCCTTTTTTCCCTTCCTCCCTTCCTCTCTAAAAAAAAATCAATAAACATATCCTCTAGTGAGAATTAAAAAAACAAAATACGTCCGTGTCCTACTAGAACTCGAACTTAAATATCATACTATTTAGAAATGAACAATGAGGACATGACATCAAAACTGATAGGTGAATGAATATTAATTTAAACATGGTGGATTAAATAACCATTTACTTTTTTTGCTGTTAGATCTGTACTAGAATTAATGTTTTTAAAAAAATAGGTATAGGGTGTCAAGGACAAAGAAAAGTGGAAAGTTTATCACTATTAAAATTTTAGGAGCTAGAAAGCAACAAGTGGTAAATAACTAGATGTGAGAAAACGGAATTTATTAGTGGAGAAGGCCTAGAATTGGTGCTTTATAGCCTTGGGATGCTTCAGGATTGGTGGCTGCAGGTACCTTGAAAGAATTGTCTGAAAGTCTCTAATAACCAGTAAGCAACACATAGTACCAGGAAAGGATCTCTTCAAGTTTCTTTGATAAAAAGGGAGGATCTCTGTTCTTGCTGACACTAGTCACAGCTCGGGTTAAGGGTGTCATACTGAGAGAATTGAGTAGAAATCTACATGTTGAACTGGGAATCACCCTCAGCCTCTTTTCCCTTCCTGGTTCTGAAAACCCTGTGTGTCAGGCTCCTAATCCCAGAATATGAGATTGAAAGATTCATCCTGTTACAGCACACTGATGATCAGGAGGAAAGACCAAGAGATAACAGACTGCCCAGACTGATCATCCTACAGTGACACCTATTAACACAAATTCTAGCAACTTTTGTGTTTCATTTTAAAGTATGAGATTGAAGATCATTAAACATTTGAGGATAACCTCTATATGAGAGAGAAGAAGGAAATAGAAATTCAGGAAGAAAATTTTATGAAAAAAGTTATTGATACCTTTGGAAGTAAGGTGATAACTACATCTTTGAAATAAGAAAGGATGCTCTAAAACCAATCCTCAGAAAACTGAGCTCTTGGACATTTAGAACATGAAATAGTAGGATTGGAAATAAAGAATATGAAGGAAATTAAGAAAAATAATGCCTTCAAAGTCCTGAATGTAGTAGGCTAAAATTATGAAGCATGAGGTGGTTAGACTATTTACTTCAAATGCACTCTATGTCAGGAAGTTGCTGGAGGATATGGGTTCCATCAAAATGTTGGGATAAAAAAGAGAGGATCCAGCACAGGAAAGAAGTGATTACCTGGGATGATGGTGAAAGGAGATGCTCGGAGGGTGGCCGTGTAAGTGGGTCTGAAGAGAGTAATCAGTTCAGTTTGGGACAGGACAGGAGGACAAAGGGATATAGATATGTCTTTAGAAACACACACAAGATGGAGGTTATTTTTATCTGTCATTTCTTGTGATGTCTTTGGTTTTGTTATGAAGGTAAAAATAGCCTCGTAAAATGAGTTAGGAAGTGTCTCCTTTTCTGGTTTTATTTATTTATTTTTTTGAAGAAAATTGGTGTCAATTCTTTTAAACATTCGGTATAAAGGACATTTATCAGAGAAGCCATCTGATCCTGGGCAACCTGGGAAAGTGGGAAAGGTGTATTTAGCTTTTCTATGACTTCTTGATTAGTTTTGGTAGTTTGTTTTTCTGGGGATTTGTCCATTTCACTCAGGTTATTTAGTTTATTTCTCGTGTTCCCTTATAATCCTTTTTATTTCTTACATAAAGTCAGTAGTAATGACCTCCTTTTCATTCCTGATTTTAATTATTTGTCATCTTTTTTTCATGGTCAGCCTGCCTGAATGTTTGTCAATTTTGTTGCTATTCTTAAATTCTGTTTCATGTATTTCTGCCACAATCCCTGTTATTTCCTGCCTCTCTCTGCTTTAGTTTAGTTTGCTCTGCTTCTGGTTTCTTAAGGTGGGAGGTTAGGTTATTTGAAATTTTTAAATGTAGGCATATATAGCTATAAATTTCCCTTTAAACACTTCTTTCATTTCATCCCATAAGTTTTGGTGTATCATGTTTTCGTTTTCATCTCAACATATTTTATAATTCACCCATGTGATTTTTTTCTTTGACCTATTGGTCATTTAGGAGTTTGTTGCTTAATTTGCACGTGTTTGTTAATTTCCCAGATTTTCTTCTCATTTATTTCTAGTTTCATTCCATTGTGTTTGGAGAACATAGTTCCTGTGATTTTATTTCATTTAAATTTATTGACGCTTGTTTTATAGCTTATCATATGGTCTGTACTAGAGAATGTGCACTTGAGAAGAAAGTGTTCTGCTGTTCAGCGGAGTGTTCTGTACAGGGGTGGGCAAAAGTAGGTTTGCAGTTATTTGTATGGAAAATAATACAATAATTAACAAATACTAATGCAAGAATAAACTCTGTTTTGTGTACTCAAAACTATAAACCTACTTTTGCCTACACCTGTATATTGTCTGTTAAGCGCTGTAGTTTATAGTGTTCAAGCATTCTATTTCCTTGTTGGTCTTCTGTCTGGTTCTATTCATTATTGAAAGGTATATACATCTCCAACTATTTTTTGTTTGTTTTGATCTGTTTTCTATTTCTTCAATTCTGTAAGTTTCAGCTTCATATGTATTTATTCTTAGAGGTACTTCTGTTTATAGTTGAAATACAATTTTTGATGGATTGATCCTTTTGTTATTATAAAACATCCTTTTTTTTGGTCTTTAGTAACAACTTTTTACTTAATATCTTTTTTGTCTGATAGAGTATAGCTACTCCAGCTCTGTTTTGGTTATTGTTTGCATGGTATGTCTTTTTCCACCCTTTTGCTTTCAATTTCTTTGAATCTAAAGTGTCTCTTCTAGACAGCAGGTAGTTGGATTGTGTTGTTTTTTAAACCAATTTTGCCAGTCTCTGCTTTTTTATTGGAATGTCCAATTAACTTGCTTTTATGTAATTACTGATAAGGTAGGATTTCTGTCTGCCCTTTTGCTATTTGTTTTTTGTATATTTAAAGATTTTTTTGTGTGTGGTATTGTTCTGCTTTGTTCCTGTACTATTGCTTTTCTTTGTCCTGAATAGATTATTTTCTAATACCATTGAAATCCCTTGCTGGTTTTTTCACTATGTATGTTTTTCATTTTATAGTGGTTGCTCTGGGAATTATAATTAATAACTTTGTTTCAATTAAATTCTGAGAAATAGAAACTTAATTTCAATAATATACAAAAATTTTACTCCTGTGTAGCTCCACTCCCTCTTCTCCCATTGAGTTATTTTTGTCATGAAAAGTACATACTTGCCTGGCCAGGCGTGGCTCAGCGGTTCAGCATCGACCTAAAATCAGGCGATCAGGGTTCGATTCCCCGTCAGGGCACATGCCCGGGTTGCGGGCTTGATCCCCAGTTGGGGGCGTGCAGGAGGCAGCCGATCAGTGACTCTCTCATCATTGATGTTTCTCTCTCTCTCTCCCCCTCTCCTTTCCTCTCTCTGAAATCAAAGTTATA